GCCGGAAGTGGGTTTCTTCTCCGCCAGTTCCGCCATCACCACCACCACCACCACTTTCGTTGATCCGAGTATGGCCGGAAGTGGGTTTCTTCTCCAAAACATATTAAGGAAAGTTAATATTTGTTACTACTACTTACCAAGATTATATTAACTATAAATACTGATAAAAATTTCCATAGATAATTTTGTTTCTGTTTTTGATTCATCTTCTTTGCCTTTCTGTTCTAATTTACTTCCAAGCATATTGCTTTCTTGGCATCACAATCCTCCCTCAAAGTTCTTTTAAAAATATTTGAGTTTTATTTTTGGAACTGTATATTGTATCATGCATTTCATTGGCTCTCTGTTATGAATCAACATTCCTTCTGTTTTTGTTATTCTCAAATGAGTTCACTTTTCCTTTTATAATGTGATGCATTTTAAAGTTGGAAAATTGAAAATTAACTATTGTTAACTATTGGAAAACATGTAGCCATGTATACTATATTAGTGGAGATGCATGGAAGGAAGGAGGCATTGATGCTACCGGTAAGAATTCTCTGCATCTTCGCACTTAATATATACTAACTCAAAATTATATTGGGACAAAAACAAAAATAAAATAATAGTGGAGCAGGATAAGTGAAGTAACATACCACTACTTTCTCTGTATCCGTGCATAGTAAAGCAATTGAAGTAATTTATCACATGACTAGAAGGAGCATTTTACATGTTAACGAAGACTAAGCCTTGCAGCTCACTCTACTAATGTGGTATAAATCCTTAGAGCCCTTAACAAAAAGTTAAACCAATATAATGCAATGGTTTTTCAGAGGTATCAGCAGGTTGTAATTGTTAGTTTTTTGTTTTAGTTACAAATTGTCCATATATTTGTTTTTTTTCAATTATAATTATGCTATATTGTTGAAGAAAAACCCCATAGGTGTTGATTCTGTCCCTTGGTAACAGAAGTCAGGTCAAAGCTTTAGTTGGATGTGCATAGTGTGAGTTTTTGCAAGGAAAGCTTAAGGAAACACTAGATTCCTGAAGATGGCTATATACTTTTTGTTTTTTTACAAGTTTCTGTAATGTGGTACTTTTGGATGTTGAACAGATTTGAAATCCACAATCATTTTAAAATATTCACATCCAAATTGCTATATATATTATACTTGGTATACAGTTAACTGGAGAATTGCATTTATGATTTCCATTGTTTAACAGCCTGATCATCAACAATTCATAGTTGATGCTGGAACGCTTCCTCATCTGGTTGCTCTGCTTAAGAGGCGCAGGGATGACCAGAATGTTCGAACAGTCAACGGTGCCATAAGGAAAGCAGCGGATGCAATCACCAACCTTGCTCATGAAAATAGCAGCATCAAGACCTGTGTTAGGTTAGTTTCTTTGCATGCTTTCCAGTTGCAATGTAGGTATTTTAGTACTTCCCTCTCACCACATTTTCATGTTTAGGGTTGAAGGTGGCATTCCTCCTTGCGAAACTAATAAATTGATGAAGTTTTCTCATCGTTATTTCTAATCATAGATCAAATATTGGATTCTACAATCTTTCCTCATGTATTTAGCGTTGGGGCGGAGCCAGGATTTAGAACCATGGGGAGCACCGAACATAAATAAATAAAATTAATCAAAAATGAATATTAATTTTTCTTGGAGTCCAATAACAAACGAAGGTTACTTGAAATAACATTAACAATTGTCGTAATATTAATCACTGGACGTGGTTTGCTTCTTTAATATATATAAGATTAATCAAAAATTAATATTAATTTTTCTTGGAGCCCAATAACAAACGAAGGTTACTTGAAATAACATTAACAACCGTCGTAATTCGACTTCAAAAACACAAGTCATCTAATGTTTGACAAATAACAAAGGTTCTCGTTTTGTATGTAGTGAAAATTGTTGTATCTATGGCTGTAATGTTCCATTTTATGAAGCCGTTGGGTTTGATGCCTGTATTCTTTTTAAATCATCAGTATTGTTTATTTTTCCTTCTGCAGAATTTACGTCAAACACTTGATGATCTGACATGTAATGGGTTTTCAGTAGTAAATCCTTTGATCTCTGATGCTGCCAGCATAGTCTGTGAATCGTATCTATATTGCTCATTTTAGTTGCTTAATTGTATTACTTCCTATTATTTCTGTCGAGATAGAGTATATGGAAATATGTCACTGTTCATGATACAGCAGAAACTTAACATTGTGATTGTGCTTACTAGCTTTTTTTCTGTTTGATATCCTATTTAACTAATCAATTCATAAGTGTTGTCTCAGAATGTCTACTCCCTCCAAGGATCCACTTCTGCAAGTGGAAACGACATGTGGATCCCTTCTTTATGAGCTTCAGGTATTCTTCTAGA